ATCTCCACTATGGTAGTTAAATATTGACTGACTGAGACAGTTTTTTTGTTTACCAGGATTTCGTGTTGGTAAGGTCTAAGCAGACTAACCATGTAAAAACTCTTTAATTTCAATAGATCTTTTTCACAGCACAATTTTGATTTGTCAGTGGAAAAAGCACAAGTGCATTCAATACCAATAACAATGGCTGAACTCCACCAAGGGAAGCTCAAAGCTGGATCACTGGAGCTTAGTATGTCATCAATATTAACCAATTCTAGGGCCTCCCCTAAGAGTCAAATGTAGACAGCTGATCGATGTTTGAAACTGGGCATTAGGCAACTTTATATTTTATATGCTAGCAGCATTAGCACTTGCATAAAAAATAAATAAATAATGTGAAAAGTTGTTTCCACATTTGATGAGACACCCAAGCCTTTTAAAGCAAAGTGGTTACCTAGGAAGCTGCGACTACGTAAATGACTTCAGAATCTTCACAGAAACTCAGGCCAATGGTTTTGCCAGATATTAAAGGAAAATATGATCTTTGTATTGAAATGCTAAATCCAATTGAAAATATATACCCTGATGCAGGTATAGCCCTGTTCATTTAACATGTGCTTTTCCTACTATGACATCTATAAATGCTTGTTTTAAACAAAAATAACTGGGATTTTTGTACGACTGGTTGTGTTATATGGTCTTTAACAGATCAGAATTATTTAACCCCCTCCCCCATACTGCAGGCTTTGCATTTCCATCAAATGATGTCTGTCATTTGTTTTGACAACCTTTACCAGACTTGACCCAAATGTTCAGGAAAAGTTAGACCATTATCGGCAGAGCTTGCTGTTTAAAAAGAGAAAAAGAGATGCATTAATATCAACAGTTCAGAACAAGACACAGTAAATATTTGTAACTCATAAACATAATGAAAATATGATTTATTTGTCCAACATCAAGGCCATTTGCCTCAAACAATAGGTATTCAAAGTTATATACACATTTACATTTGTTACACAAAAAAACTGCCATTTCACCACTTAATCAGATAACTTTGGAAGTATTTAAACAATACATTCCAATATGTCAATAAACAGGACATGACAATGAGACCATTAAGCCTCTACTAGCAACTCTGAGTAATGGAGCAGTTGTAGTACAGCCAACAAAAATGCTGCATGAAGTACAGATGTTGTGAAGGATTGATCACGTATACCATTTGTTACCGATACTACCTTTAAAAAAAAAAAATACCAGGCCACGTTGGCAGCAGCGATTCCAGCCTCGTCACCTTCCACCAGCAGAATCCACTTTAGCATAAAGAAAAATAGGTGGCGCTAAATGAAAGCATTCTTTTGTACAATGGCGCTGATTCACAAAGAGATCAATTCTTATCAACAAGGATAACAGTCTTATCTTTGTCAGCATGTTTCAACTTGACAGCTGACTCAAGATCACTCTTTGTGGAGCTTCACCTTCATCTTAACATTTACATTAAGAATTCTTTAATTCAACTCTTACTTAGATATTAACTGAAATCAAATCATTTTCAATATCAAACGGTTAACATAAGAGTATAAAAAGTACTAAAATCTACTAACTAGGAACAAGAAGTACAAACAGAAGTAGTGAGGTCTCTGCCTCGAGCCTGTGAAAAAAACATTTCTTGTCTGATCCTTACCATGGAGCCAAGCAGGTAAAGGTGTTCAGAAAGCCACTCATCCCGCATGGAGGATCAACCAATACCTAGAAGAAACTGTCAACAAGGTTTAGCAGTAACGTGTTTTAAATCCATCATTACACAGAAACACATGCACATTCAGCAGTTCTTAGGTAATCTTAACTTATTCAACAGTGTTCATCCACCCTCAAGGGGTTCAGTACAGAGCAAGTTCAGTCTCAAAATCTGAAAACAGAGGTAAGTACTTGACCCTACATTTTGAGTGTTGCGCTTGCACTCTCGGCACACTTGGTGCAGAACTCCACAGAGACGTGGTTCTTGTCCACGTGCAGACACACACCGCCAGATGTCTCTTTCTCCTCCACTTTCACGCGCTTCCTCGGTAAAGCGTAGTCGTGGTCGTTCGAGTCAGGCCCCTGGAAAAGCGAGGAAGATAATTTCATCCCATTCACACCGCTCAGTCTGGACAAGAGCTGGGCTAACATGCTCTCATTGGCCAGCACGGCTCTTAGGTACCTGGTCTCGTCTTCCAACTCTTCCACCCTCTTGGTCAGCTGAGAATTCTCCTGTTTGAGCACGTTGTTTTCTGTCGACAGGACGCCGACTTTCTTCTCCAAGCTGTTGACATACTCTTTCTTCCTGAGACGATTCAATCTGGCAGCGATGGCGTTTTTGTTGATCATGCGACTCGACTGGTTTTGCCTGTTCTTAGTCTTCAAGTCAGATGATGATCTCTCTGGAGACGAAGACGTTGAAGCTTCAACTTCAGAATCCTGGTCTTTGGCACTGCACATATCAAGATCTGCCAACTCAATATCAAAGAGAGAGGATACGGTGTCTCTTTCAAGTGTCCATTTTAAGTCTTCAATTCCAAATAGGTCGTTTAGCTCTATTCCTGTGGCGTCAATATCTTCAGCTGGGAACCCTTCAGATGGACTTGGGAGATCTTCGACAGTTTCCATCACATCTCCCACATGGACCTCCAGAGACTGACCCTCCGTGCTGTTCATGGTGCGTCCTCTTCTTCTGGTGATCATTGTGGTTTGTCAGTGAGACGGCAAGGAGTCTGTCAAGAAGATGTCTAGCGGTTCCTCACCTGGGGGGGATAAATTAAATGTACTGTTAGGGTGAAAACTTTCAGCAATTAAACGATTAGTTTATCAAGGCAATGTATCATGTCGATATCAATTTAATAACTGGAGCAAAGTTGAGTAAATATTTGATAACAATTTCAAACATATATCAAATACTTAGCACAAAGCAATATATTTTCACTGTGGTCTTTGGACACATCTCATTGCATCGTGTGGTTTAAGTAATAACTGTGATCCACTTTGAGGATTATTTAGTCGATAATCTTTAAAAGAAGGATCTGCTGAATTGATTAACATGCACGCTTAGTGTGGAGCTGGAATGCATTAAACGTCAGACACAATACTACATTTAACTGGGCTACTAAATGCATAAATTCAGACGGTGCAGTCATGCAGTTTCTTGGAGGCACAGACAATAGCTGAGTTGGCTGAACGTATTACAAACGTAAGGTTAGCTGATATGTTGCTCAAGCTAGGCCCAGAGGCGTAAGCTAGTACTATACGTAGTTTAACAATGTATGCTCTGCAATGCACCCTGTCACACATACACCTCACTATACTATACACAATACACCTCAATATACAATCGACAACAAATGCAAATGGCAACATTAATCTTAATAAAAGTAGCTTTCTCTCAAGGCCTTGAGTGTCCTGGGAGCCTCCTAGCTTTAGTACCCGGCTAACGTTGGTCTAACTTAAGTCCACCTGCCGTATGCTAATGAACAAAAACACGGAATCTAACTTAATTAAAGCATCATGCTGTATTTTATTCAGGTGGTTAACATCTACCTCACACATTATACTAGCGACTGCCGGCTCGTTAAGTGTTAAAGCGAACTAAAGCCATAAGGTGTTAACTAAGAGAAGCAGCTAACGTTAGCTAATGAGTGACGCAGCATCTTAAAAAGGCCACTTCCCCAGCCGACTACTCACCGTCCTGTTTGAGAAATAAATGCAACAATAGATGATTGCAGCAGAGTCATTCGATGAAACGGAGCTGGTTACAGAAGGCTGGCTCCACCGCTCACAGCTCGGAAGTGAAGCGGACAATGGCGCGCTCCAACAAGGACCGATGTCACTACCCGATCTGCATTGCGCATGTGCGAAATGGTCTGCCATATTTGACAACTACATACGGCAACGCAAATAGGACATTTGACACAGTGGCGTTTGGCAAAACATAAAATAAAACCCGATAATATTAATCTGAACGAGAGATGAGTTATTGTTATTACAACGTGACTTCACTATTATTTACCAACTCCTTTTATTGGGTTAAGTACATTGTCAGAATAAGTGAGAAATGGATTTAACTTCTGTTAGACAGCTATCGGGTAGTGACAGTGACAACTGTCACAACCAAGTCGACCTGCAAAGACACTTCCGGAAAAACATTCAAAAATAAAAGCACAACTAAATATTTCAATATGACGCAGTCAATAATAAAGACCATGTTAACAGTGGTGGAAGAAGTACTCATATATTATTTGCTTAAGTAAAAGCTACACTACAGTGTAAATACTCAGGTACAAATAAAAGTCCTCCAACCAAATATGTACTTAAGTAAAAGTTCCAAATTAGAAGCATCAAAGTATACTTAAAATACCAAAAGTAAAAATACTCAATTTGCAGAATGTCCTATTTAAGCACCATATATTTTATTTTGTTGTATTATAATTATTGATGGATTTATGATTTCATCACTTCAGTGTTGCACATAATGATAATAACGATGATAATGCATTAGTTGATGTATATGTTTTATTATAATCTAACACTGCAAACTAAATATTAACTAAATATGAACAAATAAATGTAGTGGAGTACAAGTATAAAGTAGCATAATGTGGAAATATCTAAGTACCTAAATGTTTTACTCAAGTACTTGTATTTAATGTTATAGGTACATATATACTGTTTGATTGTTCATACCGTGTGATTTATATTACTTATGGATGCGTCTCCTTAAGTAATATCAATAGAAATATTATCATTCATGTAGTGTTTGTAGTTCTCTTGAACATTCATGTGAACTCTATAACTGTTGATCCGTTATACTTAGCTGCTGGAATTGGATAGGCAGGCATGAACAGAACCCAGAGATAGTTCTCTTCACATTGTCGATTAGAAGATTAGATTAGTTTTGTCTGTTTATGGCACTCTCCATGTTCGACATTCTTTCAAACCAAAATACTGCAATCCAGCTCCACACATTTTAAACTAAAATAAAAACAATCATATTCCTTCAGTATCATTTCTTTTATTGAAGATAAGTGAACACCTTGAAATTACAACATAACCCTTCTGCCAGGATTTTCAACTGAAAGGCATCTACTCCAAATCCTCTTTTAGGGACTGACTACTTCATTAACAGTGCAAGTCAACGTCAATGAAAGGTGGAAGAAAGGAAAGACATCGCTGTAAAGCCTGTGTTCTGCATTCTTGCCTGATAAATGACTCAAAAAAGGCTTGATGCCAGCAGCCAGGGACTAAACTTCCAGCATAACAACAATTCAAAAAAGTTGAAGGCCAGATTTCAGCTTGTTAACATCACTGTGGTTCCAAAGGAGACCATCAGCTGTTCTCACTGATGCAGAGACCGCAGAGGCAGTGTGTGTCGTACTGCTGTCCAACTCCACCGGCTGGTCAAAGACAGTCATTGTGGAGTAGTTTTCCACCATGAGGCATGATGGGTCATCTGACTGTCCAGGTACTTTACCAAGAGGATAGTTCTTCCACAGAACTTTATCGTTGCACACCTGCCATGGAGAACCTCGGAGCAATTTAGCCTTTTCAGCCTGAGCATCCGCCCATTTGTGCTCGGAGGAGGACTCACTCCTTCTCTCCGCGTCAGACGTGGAGCGCCATCGCTGGCTGTGGCGCCGCGACTGCTGCAGCTTCTCATGCAAACTCTCCAGTGTGTATATGGGCTGTCGTTTGTGCTCCAGAAAAGTGTCACATTCAGAGTGGCCAATTTGTGTGTAGATGGAGCAGAGCTGGAGCAGCCGCTGTCGGGTCTCCAGAGGGAGAGGATGCTCCATGTCGTCCAGGATTAACTGCAGCAGGTGAGGCGTGCTGACACAGGGAGCATCCAGGCATGCCGAGAGCAGCTGCTGCCACCTCAGCTGGATGCGGTTCACAAAGATCCTATCCTTCATCCTGGTCTTCTTCTGTCCCTTCGTTTCAAAATGGTATTCAAATTTGTTGCTGTTGCAGAGAATGATTTCTGAAATCCAAGTAGAAATGTAGAAAGCCCTTTGATTATTATTCTGCTCTTTGGCGAGCTGCTTCAGTTCAACAAACAGCTTCTCCAGGAGCACGTGAATGAAGGACGGGGAGTTGAGCACCTTCACGAGGGGCAGCCAGAAGCGCAGCAAGGTTTGAGGGAGTCTGAGCTCAAAAGGACCAGCGCTGTCAAAAGAGTCACAACCTAAAGTTTCCAGCTGTTCAGCAGTAGGGACTAGAAATCCATCTTCCAGCAACACGTCAATCAGCAGGTTACTGGACTGCAAAGCAAACTGCTTGATCTCACCTAGCAACCAGCTCATGTCTGCAAAGGGGGCTGGCGACATGTTCTTCTCTTTGTCTTCAGGAAGCCCGTCAAAAGCCTGGAACTGCTCCTTCTCATAAGATATCAGCAGCTCCCGTGCATTCTTGTAGGCTTCCATTTCTTTTTGCCTTGCAATGAGCTCCCCCCCTTTCAGGTCAGCCTCCTCATCCTCTCCATCAGACTCTGACTCCCAGTCCTCACCGGGCCCTCCTCCCAGCTGCCTGGACCAGTACTCATGCTGGAGCCACTCCAACACCACCTTGCATCCCTTTCGACACCACTTCAAGGTGGGAAGCTTCCTGTGGGTGAAGTCATGCCTCAGGTCGACCACCCACGCTGGGATGTTCAGGTTCCCAGCCAGCCGCCTCAGGGGACGGGCTGTTTTCCCCTGCTGTCTCTCAGTGATCAAATTGACGAACCTAATAATACATAAATAAGAATAGCAATTATTAAACAAATTACAAGGAATTGGTTAAATGATAATAACTTCATTAACTCACAATGGAATAATCTAGAAAATGAAATCTATGGAATGGAAAAAATAACCATGAGAATCAGAAACCAAGTTCATATATTTGATGAACGATGGGAAAATGGGTAAGTCATAAAACATTTATAATGTGTTGTTAAAATGTGACAGTTAATCCATGTCGTCATGTGTAAATGTATAAGTAATTATCAATGTGTGTGTTTTGTTTCTTTCTTCTCCTTTATTGGATTGCTATGTAGATGTTGTATGCAGGACTTGTAGTAACAACAAATGTTTATTTTGTTATGTATGCCTTGTAATCAAATAATTTCTTCAAATGCAAAAAATGGTCGAACCTCATCAGGGCGGCTCCATAGAGCAGGACCAGGTCGTCTCCGTCCAGCTGGCCCGACCGGTCCAGCACCTGGCACCGAACCAGGTCCGCCGTGCAGTCCACCGCCACCGGGCTGCTGTTGGCGTACCGGCCTCTCCAGGCTGAGATCCGCTGCAGGGCGTACCTCTGTAGAGCGGGATCCTTGGAGTACAGGTACTCCAGAACCTGGTCCCACTCAGCCTTGTTGGTCCACGCCACCACATGGCGTCTTTTCTCCGCGCTCCTTTTCTTCATGTTATCGGTGTTAGAGGCGGTCGGTCGAACAGGTTAACAACTTACACACATACCTCTCCTGAACGCAGAGAAACGGGACTCCTGACGGTCGTTAAAAACAAAACCAGCTCTGAGTCGCAGCGTGGAAGTGTTCGGTTCGGATTGTATCGCATCCCGGAAGTGACGTCCTCTTCTTTAGTGTAATGGCGGACTACTAACCAACGTTGAAGGTGCGTGTCGCCACCTGCTGCACCGTAGGACAACTTTCTCACATATTTAAATAAAACCTGTGATGTTCGTATATTTAAAACATCCATTTGATTCTGAACTTGTTTGTCTTCTGTCTCTAACAGCCCTTATGGCTCATGGATGTGTTGAGTTCCACTTTCTTCGCCACGGAAATGTCATGTTTAGTATTCTTCAACTAAATAAGCGTACTGTGAACTAGTATAATAATAATTCGAAATGCATTTATCTTGGGAATTGTATCTCATATTGCCACATGTTTCACTTTCAGGGGGGTTATTTATTTAATGCAACATTTATTTGACAGTCTGTTATATTCAAATGAATATGCAATGTTTATCCAACAGATGGAAATAAAAAGGGCTGTGAAATATATTGAAATATTATTATTAAATTAATAGAAGCAGTCTTTTAAAAGAACATTTATTTACACAAAAATTAACTAATATATTATTATTAATTAGTTTCAAAGTTTCAAGACAACAATATATTTCAAATAACAATTAATAATAATAACATATATAAAATAAAATAATGAATTATGAACTAGTTATAGTAATTAATTACATCACATTAAACTAGCTGCAAAAAATGTTATGTAGATTAGTAAATGTAATGTAATGTAATTTAGTAAATGTTTTGTGTGTAGAATGGAGTTGAGCACATGCTTCACTGACTGTATACCTGTATACTGTATTGACATAACTGTTGATTTGCTGTAAAATGATTGGTCACTCATGGGGTGAGTTCTTATTAAACATCCATGGGTGCGTCTCACTTCGGTTATTTTTCATTTCCTCGCTCCTCGGGCTCGGTATCACCGGAAGTTGATTTGTCTGTGCGCCATCTTGAGCAATAGAGTGGCGAAGTCACTGGGACCTTATTTCGGAAAAATTATGTATTGAAGTCAATGGAGAGAGAAAACGTATCTTTCAATCCCGTTTGAATTGTGCCACGAATTACACATATGATGTTTGTCAATTTAAAAATAATTTCCATGTCAAAAAAGTCACAGTTTGTCGTAAAACTGTTGAAATATAAGACTATGAAAAATACGCAACTAGAAAGACTATAAATCCCAGAGTCGCGTAAGTGATGTCATAACTGATGTCCCAATTGTTTTCCCCCACCAAATAAGAGATAGCTAAAATAAGATAACTTTAACAAGATGCCTGTGTGCTTAGTACCAGGTTGTTACCATACCAGCAATGGGTCTTGCTCGTTCTTTTGCTTCCCGTCTGATGAAAGGACCAGGAGTGGCTGGATCAAGTTAGCTACCTAGCTAGTAGCAAGCACGTTAGTTAGCATTACAGTCTTAGCCTTGTCATTTTTATTAGCCTTAACATGAAGTAACATCAAGTAACCCAAAATGTTAAACAGTAAGAGTAGTAGTCATATTTCGTGAACCCTTTGAAGAGTACTGTCACACCGGTGTGATCATTCTATAATACACAATTTAAGCCCGGGGGAGAAATACTAACGCTAGCATCGGCGATCACCGATCTTTTGTACTTCATGCTATCTGCACAAATGGTTGACATTACACATTAAAAAGACCAGGCCGTTCAGAGAGAATCAAAGGAAGGCAGGCAGGCAGGCAGCTTTGCATGACATTCTTCTGGACGTGTTTCATTGTGTTGATAGTGAGGGTAGTCAATCACTTTTTTGACAAGACAGTAGTGACGGCCATCTTGGTGACGTGTGTTGTTTTGAGAGTCTGCGAGACCAGAAATGTAGTTCATTAAGCGTTTCACACAAAAAATGTGTTACTTCACAGTTTTACGACACATTTTTATTTTTTGACTTGCAAAATGATCTTTTAAATTGACAAACATCATATGTGTACTCTATAGAGCAGTGGTTCTCAAACTTTTTTCACTCATGTACCCCCTTTGAAAAAAAAATTCAGCCAAGTACCCCCTGATCAGCGCAAAAACTATTTGTTAAGGAAAAAAAGCCTATATAAAGAGGTACAGTGCAGCGCTGCACCATCATTGTCTGATTTATTAAAACAACAACCTTGTAACTGAGAAGCACTTAAATGCTACACTTCAAATGTTTACAATCCATCACTAAATTCATGGCAAACCAATTTTAACATCATGCAATAACACTAAGACGACATTAGTTGCACTGAACTGATCTTTTTAATAAGTTGTACAATGTAGTGAGAAACATGCATGTTTCTCACTACAAAGATCCTCAGTGAAGCTCAAGCCCATGGGCTTGAGCTTCACTGAGGATCTTTGTCATTCTGACAGGGAGGCAAACTGCAGTTATTACACTTCGCGTTTTGAAATATGTGTAACTCTGTTAATATAAAACCCACACTGCTAAAACTTTGTTACTTTTCCTAAAATTGGTATATTTATTTATTTATTTTGGGGCGTGGGGAATGAAGAGAAAAAATATAGTAGCATTTTATGAGCATGGGATTTTGACCCCTCATATAAGATATGCATAATGCTGCGCTATACTTTGCGGCCACACGCCGTTGCCAAGCAACGCTTATTGTTTAGGTGTCATTTGATAAGCAGGCAGTCATATAATTAACTAGAACTAGCTAGATCTGATAGATTTGGACATAGACGCACGCGAGTGAAGTCTAAGGATGCGAGAGAGAGATCAGAGATCCGATCAGCTGCTGCTGACTGAGAACACGCAGCTCTGCATGATCACAGCTCCGCCGCTGTGACGGACCGTTGAGCCGAGCAAAAATACACTAAGAGTTAGACCTAACACACTTAGCTAGTTTATCTACTCTGGTACTAGCTAAACTAGTTATAAATATATTTATTTTTTACTGTCGGTCACTTATTAGAGGTTCAGCGAGCTGCACGAGACTGACGGGCTGTCAGGAGAGGGAGAGGAAAAGAGAGCACCCCGTTTATTTTTCCCATTTTATTATCCAGAATTACTGTAAACCTTTGAATTAAGTAGTTAAACTACTATTAGTAGTTTGTGTAAATGCATGTGTGTATGAATTATACGTTTTTGTTTTTGTATGATTTTAGTAGAATAAATTAAAAAAAAGGTTTTTTTTTCATTAACATAAAATAAATCTCACGTACCCCCTGCAGTACTCCAACGTACCCCTAGGGGTCCGCGTACCCCCATTTGAGAACCACTGAGTGACGAAGTCCCTCCCCTTCCGGGGGAGCTCCATGGGAACTTATTTCGGAAAAATTATTGAAGTCAATGGAGAGAGAAAGATTATCTTTTGATCCCGTTTGAATTGTGCCACGAATTACACATATGATGTTTGTCAATTTAAAAGATAATTTTGCAAGTCAAAAAAATAAAAATGTGTCGTAAAACTGTGACTTTTTTGACATGGAAATTATTTTTTAAGATTGACAAACATCATGTGTAATTCATGGCACAATTCAAACGGGATCGAAAGATACATAATTACATAATTTTTCCGAAATAAGGTCCAATGGAGAAAGATTATCTTTCGATCCTGTTTGAATTGTGCCACGAATTACACATATGATGTTTGTCAATCTTAAAAAATAATTTCCATGTCAAAAAAGTCACAGTTTGTCGTAAAACTGTTGAAAGATAAGACTATGAAAAATATGCAACTAGAAAGACTACAAATCCCAGAGTCGCGTAAGTGATGTCACAATTGTTTTCCTCCACTAAGAGATAGCTAAGATCAGCGCCATATAGATATAATCTATCTATATGGCGCTGGCTAAGATAAGATAACTTTAACAAGATGCCTGTGTGCTTAGTACCAGGTTGTTATCATACCAGTAATCGGTCTTGCTCGTTCTTTCGCTTCCCGTCTGATGAAAGGACCAGGAGTGGCTGGATCAAGTTAGCTACCTAGCTAGTAGCTAGCACGTTAGTTAGTATTACAGCCTTGTCATTTTTATTAGCCTTAATAAGTAATTAAGTAACCCAAAATGTTAAACAGTAAGAGTAGTAGTCATATTTCGTGAACCCTTTGAAGAGTACTGTCACCGGTGTGATCATTCTATAATACACAATTTAAGCCCGGGGGAGAAATGCTAACGCTAGCATCGGCGATCACCGATCTTTTGTACTTCATGCTATCTGCACAAATGGTTGACATTAAACATTAAAAAGACCAGGCAGTTCAGAGAGAATCAAAGGAAGGCAGGCAGGCAGCTTTGCATGACATTCTTCTGGACGTGTTTCATTGTGATGATAGTGAGGTTAGTCAATCGTCACAGTAGTGACGGCCATCTTGGTGACGTGTGTTGTTGTGGGAGACCAGAGATCAGTGTTGCCAACTCCATAGTAAGGAAAGTAGCTATTAGCTGTCCTGAAAGTCGCCAGAAGTCGCTAAATGACGTCATCGCCTAATTTGCATATCATGTAATGGCGGCTGTAGGACAGAGCATGGTAGAGGGGAGTACAAAAAACGTTCCCAACCCTTCAAGGATCAAAACTTGAAACCACCGGAGTTAAATCCAGACGACAGTAGATCAGAAATGTCTTTGCCTTTTGAGTATGTTTTGGGGTTTTAACATGACAGTTTGGCATAGAAATCCCCCTTACAATAAAGGCAGTATGCCCGTGTGTCATCTCCAATAAATGGCTTCAACCATCCTTTATACTCAGGGTTTGATTCCCACTCCTTTCTGTATTTTTGAGAATACAATTTAGACTGTGCCATCATGTTTAGCTTGTCACAGAGAGGCACACACACAGTGGACGAGGTGATTGAGTGACTGAGGCTGTGTGAGTCAAAGCAAAGCAAAGGCAGTTATTTATTATAGTGTGAAAGAGAGTGAAGAAACATTTACATTCAACATTTAAATCCCGCTCAAAACCAGGACGGCTTGGCAGTTGGCGAATGCGCAATTCATTTGCAGTCTCGACGCGGGGGAGTGTGGTTGTCTCCTCTCTGCTCTGACTGCAGCTGCGGCCGGGGCTCACGGCAGCACCCGCGGCTCGTTAACTGCAGAACAATACGTGAGTCTCCAAACA